AAATCTAGGAGCGATGTATTCTTGCTGGGAAGATACTTTATTGCAGGAGAGCACTGGAGACTCAGCCACACTGGGAAGGTCTGAGATCAAAGGAGGTTCAGATGGTCTGATGCTAATTCCATCCACATTTGTTAGATTCTGAACAGTCACTTTACCTGGGCTCTAAGGACTCAGGTTATGCTGCTGCTGATGGGGTTTAGGAAGTGACGCCCCAAAATATGACTTTAGGAGACCAGGATGTCCTTTCAAATAGGTCTCTTTGGCATAGGATTATTTCAAGCTGGTTATTTTGAGAAACAGCAGACACAGGAGCAGCCCTGAGAAGTTACACTTTGTAAGAGAATTTTACATCTATAAAGAAATTCTCCACTTGTCAGAGTGCCTCCCTCTTTTTGAACCAGGAGAGAGGACTGACTTAATCACTACAGACTCTCAGTCAATTGCAAAGGCATGCACTTAAGTCTGCATAACAGACCTTACCCTTGTTTTACAGTAAAAGGGCCTTTCCCCAAACCCTTCCCTTCTTTCTTTGTTTCCAAGAATGATAAAATGTTATCCTGAATCTAAGACAACTATTTGAGAGTTACTTTAGACATTTACTCATTGCTCAGGGTTATCTTCCATGTATATAGGAGGTATACATGTTATTAAAATTTCTGTTTGTTTTTCTCTTGTTAATCTGTCTTTTGTTGCTCGGAGCCCCAGGTAAGAACTCATGAAGGGTAGAGGAGAAACTCATTTCTCCTTCTCTCCAGGACTGTCTGCACAGTCTGGGGCAATAGAAACAGTGCTGTTCTGGGAGTGACATACCAACTCACTTGCTCTTTCTCATCTTGGCTTACTATCATTAAGCTGGTGTCAGTGATAGCCACCTCACCTCTCTCATAAGGCAGGGACCTGCTGGGGCGAGGCAAAATTTCACATTTTGTAGAGAGGCTCGTTGGGTGAGAGGAGCGGTTATTTAAGTAGCTGAAAGGACAATAATGAGTTGCATTTTTCTGTAGATCACAACAGTACTTGTTTCATATATAATGTCATGCAAAAGACCACTAGCATGGTTAAATAGTAAAAAGGAGAACTTTATTGGTGAGATCAACTTGCAAAATGGGAAGAGGTGGTCTCTGGTGTGGGTCAAAGGTACTCTCTCTTTGAAGAAGGAAAGGGTCCCAAAGGGACTGTATTACACAATAGATTAATATATTCATCAGGTTTTGGGGAAAAGCTATATATATTTATGAGGGGAGCTGAGTGACTTTATGTACAATGGGTGAACATACATCTAACATACATCCACTGTTTACTTTGGGGTGGGGTTTCAGCATTAAAACGAGGTAGAATTTGGCTCTTTTGATCAAAAGGTAACAAAGGACACAAAGACACAAATGTAAAACACAATGACAGTTTGTGCCTACATAAACTGGCTGAAACTGGCTAAATGTCTGCAGTTGCTTATCAGAGAAAAATGTTTGTAAGGCCAGTTCTCTGTCCAATCAGAGTTGTAATGATCTGGTGTGTAAATCAGAGTTGGGAGTGGGGAGGGAAAAATGGGTGTTCCCCACCGTAGGAAGAGGAGGACTATGCTGTGCTAGCTTGGAGTGCTCTACAAATTGGTTACAAAGTAAATTAAGCAAATACCAAAAGATAGTTACAAGGCACAAGAGATGTGCTTCATCTTTCTTGACATAGAGGTGTACATTAACCCTGACTGCTTCTGAACTGCTTTAGCAGACCTACTACTCTTTAGCTAATTATAATACTGAAATCTCCTCTTAGTGAAGAATTATAATATTGTCAACATAACATGGGCTGTGCATGCTTGATTTGTCTCAATTGTGAACATGCAACCATACAATGTAAGAGCTCTGCCACTCACTAGGAAGAGATTTAAGGGACATCATGGGTGGGGTGATATGGTTTCTACTCTCCAAACCATATCACCTACTCTCCCCAGGAGTAAGTATCCAGAGAACTGAATGTCCAGCGAACTCTCCTGGAAGGAATGAACATCCTGTGTAAATAACCTCTAATGAACTCGTCTAACTCACCATGCTGCTCTTGTCTCAGTCATTCTTTGGTCTCTTGCCTCCATCTCAGTTTGTGGAGTGTGGGGTGGGGGCAGTTTTCTGTACTGTCCTGGGTTTTGCCTAAAGCAAGAGGTCTGATAAGTTGCCTGATAGCTCCTTATTGTCAGGGAGTGGAGCACGAGTGTGGTTTTTCCTGTAGCCATAGGAACTTAGAAATTTTCCATGCCAGCCAGGCCCTGAACCCTTGACCCACAGATAATTTCTGTTTCCTTAACCTTAGGGTCCATCTCAGTTGGTAAGTCATGTCTATTTTGGTCTGTCAGATCACAGCTATCTTTTAAATGGATTAGCATCAGATTCTTCAGGTTGAAAAACTAGATAAAAGCCACTCGTGAAGAGTAAAGAAAATGGAAGCATATGAGCAATTAATTTAGGCCTATGGAACTACTTAATAGAAAACCCAGAAAGTGCATGCTGATGTTACTTCCCCCCTACGACTGGGGCAAACGTCCACAAGGTTTCGCTGCATGAACATGGTTTGCAAGAGTATTTATCTGAGCCTAAATGTGGTGGAGAGGGAAGGGTATGGGGCCCCTGTGATAGCCCATGGCAGTGGTTATGTAGCACTGTCTTCCATGTGCTTAGGGTTGCTTTTTGTGATTCCATCCCCCCTGTTCTCATTCATTTGTCTTGATAATAGAGCTCCTCTTTCTCCCTGGGCTCCAGGGAGCCGGGTGATGCGGATAGAGATGCCAGTTCTCTGGGTCAAATTGCGGGTCCAGCATGTCAGCCACGTGGCTTCCTCCTTTTCTGTCTGTCTGGTATAGAGACTGGAGGTTCATCCTACTTGAGCCTGCAGGGACGCATTTGTGGAGGTTTGGAGATCTGTTGAAAAGCTTTCAGTGTCTCCGTTTGCTACTAGAAGCCAAATCTGAGATCAGCCACTGTCACCGGAATAACAAACAGAAAGCACCTGGGATTGCCTCTGACAGCTGCTCTGTGGTCGCCTCAGGCTGTGGGGCCGTGGCTGTGTGGCTTCCCCAGTCTGACTGCACAGCGTTCCGAGATTGAGATTATTGCAGCAGTGTGTACAGCTAGCGTTACAGCTCTTGTTACAGCTCTTATTCGTTTGACCAGGGAAAGAACCGAGCGGCACACGAAGAGTCGGAGAACAGCCTTTATTCTTCTACAGCAGGCTCAGCACACCTAGTGTTACAGCTCTCTTCCCGTCTTCTGATCTTCTGACCCTTCTGTCCGGTCGCCTCCTGCTTTTATACCCTTGCTAGGGCTCAAAAAGCATCCAATCAACAACAAGCTTTAACATCCAATCAACAACAAGCTTTAACATCCAATCAAAAACAGTGGGATTCAAAAATTACCCAATCAGGATCACGCAAGCAGCGTGGCCAGAAACAGGCAGCGGCATGTGGGCCTAGGGGCATTCTGGCACGCGGGGTCCCAGTGGCACGGGCCCAGGGTGGCTCTATGCCATGGGGCTCGGCCCCAGCAGCGTGCCCTCCAACTGACCATGCACAGCGCTGGCCCAAGGAGATGCGGAGTGATGGGGAGGCGGCAAGCGGCCTCGTTCCAGCGCCTGACATTTTCTGCATCAAGGTAACTAGGAAGAATGGATTCCTTTGTCAAGTTCAGGCACAATGTAGTTTCCACACACCAACTGCCTACATCGCATAGGTGGAAATTTCAGTTGTGTTGGGAGGTTATGCAAAGACTCCTGCTCATCCTAATGTGAAAAGTTTAATTCAGAAACTCCGAGCACTTGGGGTATCGGGCCCCCCGTGTGTGCAGGCATAACACGGGGAGGTGGCAGGGTTGATAAACTGAGTCAGGAAGTGGTGTTCATTCATTGCTTTCAGAGAAGCTTGTCAGTTATCTGCTCTGCACATCAGGGTAAGAAGTAGATGTGGCTCAAAAATAGAAATGAAAAATTAGCAAATCGCAAAATGGGCCACGTAAGCTTGGAAACAGAAAGACAGGGGAGTCAGCTTTAAGGTGGAGGAAGAAGTTGCTAAATCACAAATTTCTCAATCTAAAGACTCAAATGCTGAATTTATTCCAACTTCTATCTGCAGGAATTGAGAAACCCAGTGTAAAAAAAAGTGTAGTTAGTCCTTAGATAAAGTGCAGGTTTATTTGAAATGGAGGAGAGTGAAATTTAGATTTTAAATAGTCCAAAAATTATTCTGGTATACTCTCATCAGAAAAGCTAATTGGGTAAATTCTGACAGTCAGTCCAAAAGGGCTTGTAAATAGTGAGGACTCAGTTTCTAGTTTTATAGATTCTAATATGCAGATGGATGGTATCTTGCAAGAGATAGTGGGAGTAAAAGCTTTCTCCCTGGTGCAGGGGGTTTTTTTAATTCATTTTTTAATTTTTATTCTCAAAGATAATTAAATGTCAATAGCCAGAAGGGTTGATGGTGCTTATATGTTCATGCATCTTCTAGTCAACCTGGACTAAATCTTGTTTATAATATAATATAATAGGTGAAGGAGAGGAGATTTATCTTAAATAGACCTAAGTTAAATCTAGCTTATAAAACCAGTTAATAAATATATTTCATGCAACTGTGTGAGACTGCAGTTAAAGTGGAAAGGGCTCTTGTTACACTTTGGTTTATTGGCTCTTTATAGGGGAAACAGAAGTGACTGGAGGTGTGTGTGTAGGGGCATTTTGCTGATTTGTATTTGTGGTTGTCACAATGACCAATGTGTTACTGGCATTGAGTGGGCAGCACTTAGAGGGTAAGCATCCTGTATGTTCAGGACAGCCCTACAAAATCAATTTTCCCACCTCAATGCCAATAGTGCCTCCTGACCCCTAAGAATTTCCCACTGGGAGACTTAAGAAAACTTCAGGAGCCAAAGAAGCTCTTGAAATGCTCCTTTTGATCAGATGGTAATAGAAGATTATGGCCCAAAGACCGAAATAGAAAATGTTTTATTTTTTTAATCTAGGGATTTAGAGCCCAGGCTTGAGGACAAGATCAAGTAATGAACATCCACTGGGCATACATTGGGTCCCTTTCCACATTGCACATCTGTCAATGTGCAATTGATGAGCAAGGGAGATTGCCCTGTTTTACAGTCAAGAAAACTGAACAGAAAGGAGAGAAGCTTGCCCAAGGACACACAGCCATTAAAAGTAAGTAGCATATCCCAGGGGAGTGAGAGTGGAAGGCCCAGGGCCCAACCTTTAGGCACCCCTGGCCCAGCGCTTTTCACCCAGAACAGTCCCACTTAACATACTTCATTTCTAAGTGGGTTTTATTTAAAGAAGTAAAAAGGAAACTCCAAAGCTAAGAATTTATTGGACCATGTTTTCTGGTCTCTGTGAACTAGCTTTGAGGTAGAGTTGTGCTTCCAATGGAAATGTTGTTGAAGCATTTGAACAACTTATATCCCAACCAGGGGGACCTCATTACCATAAAATTATTCTTTGTGATTCTGTTTTCATGATAAGCCAAGGTCTTTTTATTCTTTTTTGTTTGTTTGTTCATGTTGGCCTACACCAAATACAAAGAGAACACTGTAGTTTTTATGTCAATCCTATAAACATAGTTACTGAAGAATTAGAAATGATTAGCCTCACAGCCATCTGAAAATGTACTGTTAAATAGTAAGAACTAATTCTGAAAGCTAGAAACTCTTATGCACAGCCCATTACTATAATTGGCTTTTGTGCAACAAATGGAGTATGTTCCTCAGGGCTTTGTAGGGAAATGAAATAAATTGAATATAAACTAGATTACCATTCCTTAAAGTACTGTTAAGTACTTTGTGTAGTCTAGTACTTCAGAGCTATTTGCCAACGTTATGGCCTCTCCCACATCTCATTCATTTGCTGATTTTCTTATTAGAATCTAGTAAACAGATCATTGAAGAACATCCGAGAGCCCTAACTTAAGTATCCACATTATTATAGATTCAACTTTACACTAAATATAACATGGCATTTGCTTCTTTATCAGAATAACTGTAAGCCATTAATTTGTATTAATTTTTAAAACAATCTTTTAATCTTATAGTTTTGAGGCATTCTATTGTATCTTCACCATATACATCTTTAATATATGTTTCCATATATATATTATATATGAAAACATATATATATATATATATATATATATATATGTCTATCCCTTCCTTAAGACGATTTTACATCTGATGATTCATAGTGCCATTATTAACCATCAGGCATTCAAATACCTTTATGACTTAATCAATTCTCATCTATCATTTAGAAATATAGGAAGAACATTGTTTCTATGCTTGGTCAGAGTATTCAAGAATAATATCAAACATTTTCTGGGGGCAAATGTGGAGAGTCTTCAAGCTGCCCATTAGTCTTGAGAGATTAATCTTTAATATTTTATAAATTATTTCTTTTAGAATAAGGAAGATATCAATGTTTATTCTATTTCACCTCTTACTCTCCATAATTCTCATAATCTTCAACTTGAAATTTGATTCATAAAGGATTATACACATGGAATTAGTAAATATACCTTTACTAAATACAGTAGTAAATACACCTTTGTGTACATGTCAAAATTAATATTTAAGGACCTATTTTTAGAAGTATATGTTAAGCAGTTTTACCAATTTGTAGTTTGTGGACCAGTGGCACTGATGTCACATGGGGACTTTTAGGAAATGAGTCCTCTGCCTTACTCCAGCTCTGGAGTTCAGAATCTGCATTTTAATGAGAAATCCCAGTGACTCATATTTAAGTTTAAATACCAATTCCTAGAGAATCTTACATATATTTAAATACTGATATAATGAGTTCAAGCTTATACCACTCGCTGCAGGACAGCCAATAAGTTGAGAGGAATTGTGTTGGGGCAAGGCATTGTGTGTTTGGAGAGCCTGCAAAGTGAGAAGATGGCTGACTAATGTTTCAAAGAGACATCTTAAGTTAGAGTGAACTTTAGGTTCCTTTTTATCCTAAGGGATAAAAAGGGAAAGGAAGGTGGTGGGTGATTTGGGTTGTACCTCTTACAACCCAACAGGTCTGAGGACCACAGACATCTGGGCATCAGCAAGGGTCTGAGGAGGCTGTAAAACTTCTTTGCTCTTGGCCAGTAAACTTTGGAGGACAAAGGTGAGGATGTTCCTAAAAATCTTGAACATACCATTGCTGCCTGTGTATATGTTTTTCTTATCTCCCTGGGAGTTAATTTTGGAAAAGGCACAGTTCTCACCTTTCTTCTAGCCTATGTGCAGAGCTAAGCAGAAGCTTTTAAACTAAAGGGTATTACCACAGGGGATCACAAGCAAAATGGAGCTAGTTATGCTACCCTTCCCTTCCACTGTTACACCGATAGATATTTCCAATATCAATCTCATTAATCATTTTTTTAATTTGTGCAAGGCTGATTGATAATGTGTTATTTTAATTTTTGTTCACTTGATTGCTAATAGGTTAAGCATCTTTCACTATATTAACAATTTGTTTTACTCCCCTAATTGAACATTCATATACTTTTCTCTTTTTTCTACATTTTTTGTCATTTTCTTTATGATATAAAATTTACGTATTGCCTTTGACATGTTGCACATATTTTCTCCAGCCAGTTGCTTAATTTTGTTAATTGTTTAAAATATATTTTATTCTGAAAAATGTTGAAATTAAAATTTCAGGCACAATTAATCTGTCAATCTTCACTTTCTTGGTTCCTAGGTTTTGTTTTATAATTGACATGGCCTTTATTATCATAATAATTATAAGATTGGGTTTATTTTTTTACACAGACGTTTTTAAAATTTCTGAAAATTAGGTTTTTAAAATTTTTCTGAATTATCTTATTTTACTTTTTCTAAATGCTTATTCAATTGTTCCCAACAATTTATTGCATTCTGTTTCATTAATCTATTGCTATTGTTGCTTATATATCCAAATGCAAAAGTAAAGTTTGAAAAAAAAAAAAAAAAAACCAAGCCCCTCCTAAGGAAAAAAAAAACTTGGTAAGAACTAACTTTTTTTATTTTAAAATTAAAAAAAAAATAAGTTTTTTTGAGACAGAGTCTTAGTTTGACACTCAGCCTGGAGTGCAGTGGCATGTCATAGCTCACTGCAACCTTCATATCTTGGGCTTAAGTGATCCTCCTGCCTCAGCTTCCTGAGTAACTAGGACTCCAGGTGTGTGACATCACACCCCACTAATTTTAAAAATTTTTTGTAGAGACGGGGTCTCACTGTGTTGCCTAGGCTAGTCTTGAACTCCTGGCCTCAAGCAGTCCTCCCAACTCATCCTCACAAAGTGCTGAGATTTAGGCATGAAGCACTGCTTTAAGCCAAAATCTGCTTTTTTATGGAGGCTCATTTTAGTTTTCAGAATATTTATATCTTTATTTATAAATTCATGCATGATACCTTTTAGAAGGAGAGAAAAATATAGATGAACAAAAATAAGTGTTATGACATGTGGGACACCTCCCAGAAACCTGCACTTTTAACAGTTAAATGTAAATACATATGTGTGTAGTGTGATTTTTTTTTAAAAAAAAGAAGTATTAATGGTATTAGCAATAACACCTAGCATTTATCATAAAGTATAATACAAATGCTAAGTGCTTAACAGATTTTTTTTTAATTTAGCTTCATAGCAACCCTTAAAGGGTAGTACAAATATTATTACCATTTTACTAATGAAAAAAACAAAGTTTAAGTAAAATTAATAATCCACAGTCTCATAGTAAATAAGTTGCATGATCATGGGCCTTGATGCACACAGATCTAATAAGTTGTTAATGTTCCAGAAATAACCTAGATCTATGTGCCATCAAGGCCTTGATCAAACGTGCCCAGGAAGCTTTGGCCACTTAATATATTCCATATATGTGTAGTTACATTTTCTTCTGCCTATGACACTTAACTGATACTTAGATTCCCAATATGTACATTGCTGTAGTTTATTTAAAAATTAATGATTAAATCATACCTCATGGGTACAATGCACACTATCTGGGGGATGGACATGGTACAAAAGTAATTTATGTGACAAAATCATGTGTAACCCCATAATATTCTGAAATAGAAAAAAAAAATGGTTAACTTAAGCCTCAATTTGCCATGAATAAAATCAGCATAATAATAGCACTTGCTGTAATTTAATAAAAATAAATATACAGCCATATAAATATATAGCCAATATATGTATAACAGATCAATGGAACATATGAGAGCAGAGAGAGAGAGAGAATAGTGTTTTATATATGTTTGCACTTGTATGTGTGTATATGTATACATATACACACATGAGTATACTCATATATCCATCCATAACTTCTGCAAATATATAAGAAAAGGATAATTAGTCCAGTGAACAATTACGAAAGACATGCGTATACAGTTACTAATATAAGACATACACATGCCTAATAAAAACTTAAAAATATATTCTACTTCACCTGGCTCAGATAAAGGCAAATAAAAACCAAATGGAAGTTCTAGCATTGTTCATGTTCTTTTTGGGCAGAAGCAAAGTTTATTAATTTTTATACAAGCATTATTTTGAAATGAAGCACACATAAAAAGATTAAAATTTATAACTACACAGCCTTTAATATTCACAAGGTAAACATACACATGTAACCAATACCCAATTCAAGAAATAGCCTCTGTGAGTCTCCTTTGTATCTACCTTCCAGTCACTGCTTCTTCGAGTTCTCTGCCCATTTTTCTATTACCCTGTTTTTAATTTTCTTCCTGACATCAGGACTTTTTATGTAAATCATGGATACAATCCCTTTGTACTTTAAATGTCTACACCCACCCTGTGGCTTACCTTTTCATTCTATTAATGGTGTCTTTGGTGAACCAAAGGTTTTAAAATTGATAGAATGCAATTTATAATTGTTTCTTAGTACTGGGTACTTTTTGCACCCTGAAAAAGAAATATGTACTCATTCCAAAGTAATAAAGTTCTCCTATTTTTTTTTTCCTAAAACCATTATTGTATTACCTTTCACACATAGGTCTGTAATGCTATTGCAATTGATTTGTGTTTATGGTGTAAAGTGAGGGTAAAGAAGTTGGCCATAAAGTTGGCCAGTTGACCAAACATTGGTTATTGAAAATACCAACCTTTCCTTGTTGCACTTAAGTGTCAGGTAAGCATAGCTGTG